AAAAAAAAGTGAGAAGAAGAGAGAAAGGAAAATCTTTTTGGCAAGATAATTTTGATGTAAACAACTTTTTGTTAATATGAATGCGTCATTACTTTGATTTACAAGTATAAGACAACTATGGGATAAAAAGAAAGCTCAAACTGCTTCGTTAAAAGCATTTATTGAGTAGCGAATCACTCTTTTTCTCTCCCTCTCTCTCTCTCTCTCTCTCGTATTTTTTACTTCTCGTTATTGGCTAGCATTAGTTTTAAATTTGCGTGAAATTGTCGCAACCATTATGACGAAATGAAGTTTATCAATTATTTTAATTCTAAATTCGCATCATATTATCACCTATTTAAGATTGTTAGGTATTAAGAAAAATTTTTACGTGCAAGTTTGACGTCATCAAGATTAGCTGATCTTTAAAGTTATATTGAAATATAATTTTACACTATAAGACAAAATTAGTAAGATATCATGTTTGCACATTCAAAAATTCGCACAATTCAATACAAATTTATTGATGAATAAAAATATTACAGGAAAAGAGAGAGAGAGAAAGGGAAAGAGGGAAAATGTTTCCTCGACAATGCTAGCTTCTTATCATCCTTATCCGCGTTAAGAACATATTTTTTAATCATGTATAAAAATTGATTTTCTGGCAAATATGAAAAAATCATTTCATATTTTGATTACTTCGTTTTTTACTTAATCATTATATTTGATGATAATTTCAAAATGTTCGAAATAATACTCATCTCATTGTTAACAGTGATAATCACGATTACAATGAATAACAATCTTTTGATGTTCGTTTTATATTTAAAGAAAAAAAAAAGAAAACATTTCGAACAAAATGTTTTACATTTTTTTTTTCTTTACATATAAAACATGCTTAATCTTTGTAATTAAAACTTTGATCATTGAATTCAAATTTTCAACTTCACTTTTGGCTAATAGATATGTATGTAATGGTCAATGATTGAAGTAAAAAATGCTGAATGATTTAGAAGTGAGGAAGAAGGAAAAAATTGCTGGTTGATTGAGAATAGCGGGATATGATCCTCGAGAAATGATGATCAGGTGGACAAAAGGGAAATTAGAAAGAATAGTAATTAGTTGGTTAATTTGGCTGTTTGGTAATGTGTGTGTGTGTGTGTGTGTGTGTGTGTGTGTGTGTGTGTGTGTGTGTGTCCTCATTTTTAAAATATCGAAGATCATCAGCTTTTGTTAGTTAGCGTAAGCATGAATGGATTTATATCTATGAAATGTTAAAAAAGCTACAATTCAAAGACTCCTTCTCCTCCTTTTTTCCACTCATTTTTCAGCAATTTCTCGCATTTCTCTATTCATCCCCATTCATTCTTTAGTATGAGAAGCAAGGAGGAAGACAAAGGGAGAGACAAAGAGAGAGAGAGAGAGAAAAGAGAAAGAAGGAAAGAAAAATACTTTCAAGTTAAATAATATTTTAAAATTAAAAATATAACAAAAGTAATATCAGTTTAATTTGAATTTTCATCATTTTACATATAATTTGAAAACAAATTTTAGCCATGTCATCATTAATTGCTATGATGATAAGTTTGCTAATGGAATCATTTGTAATAATTGATAATTTATATTATAAATTTTATACATTGTCAAATTCACACATGAATAATTAGAATCAAAGTGTTGATTAATTCATTAAATGGTAAAAGAATAAAGGAATGAGGAAGAAGGATATGCGATACATGCGGTAAAGGAAATGATGTATGAGTGTAAACTTTTCATACGTGATACATCAATGATTGAAATGTGTCAAGAACATTTTCTAACAAAATAAAGCAAAACGAAAAAAAAAATCGAAAACAATGATAGGCAGTATATATTATTGAACTATTTTAATCCATGACCTTAAATAATATTGATAAATTCTTGCTAAAATTTTACATCATATTCATCAATTTGAGATTACAACCATTTTTGTCTTTCTTTCCTTCTGTTTCTCTCTCTCTCTCTCTCTCTCTCTCTCTCTCTCTC